CTTTGAAAATCACGTGATCGGCTCCGATCCCTGATCACGTGATCGGATCGGGACATCTCTAGTTTCTTGGTATTTCGCCTTATTTTAAGAATACTTTAATAGCACCAAATGCTGAATTTAAGCAGATTTTTACATATTAAGAAAATAATTCTTAAATCTTATCTTTATCTAGACAAATGTACCTGTTTAAAGTGAAGCTGCACTGGATTTAAGATATGTTGCCTAACATAAAATAGAATTTTGGGACAAAAGCAGTAGAATATGCTGAATCCAAGCACATTTTCCTTATAAGATTATAATTCTTAAAGATATTCCTTGCTTCAATTCAAATTTACTTAATTTTGGTTTAAAAACACTTGTTTTAAGATATCTGTAGATCTTTTTAGGCTAGATTTATTTACTTGTTTTAAGAAGGTCTTGGCAAGTGAATTTTTCTTGTTCTGTTGGCAGATATTTTTTCTTATTTTAAGTAATATATTACTAATTTTACTATTTATTTTTCTTGTTTTTTGAGGCTTAGTTTTTGCAGTGTGTGTTTACAAGTTTGGACCACTTCATTCAGTACAGTATTGATGTTGCACTTGTTAATGGTCTGTTAAGTTGTAGACCTATACGCAGAAAACTCATTGGTGAAAAACATTCACTTTTTTAATGTGTTACAGTATGCTTAGAAAAGTTTAATATTTTAATGTAAGTTTTACATTTACATTCCCATTTAGATGATGGTTGAATCAATATTGATTCCTAACACTGATTCAATATAAAATCAACTACAATTTACATGTAGATTCGCATTTGGATGATGGTTGAATCAATGTTGATTCCTAACATTGATTCAATGTAAAATCAACCAAAAATGTGCATGTAGATTCCTATTTAGATGATGGTTGAATCAACATTGATATAGTGTCAGTTATGGTTGAAAGTCCCACGTTTATTCAACATTAAAACAATTTGCGCTTTCTGTTTAATTTCAATGTCCGGGTTTCAACATGGATTCAATATTTCTGCCTAACCATATTTCAACATTGATTCACTCATATTTTTGCTATCTGCCATCATTCAATTTTTATGTCAAAAACAGAGTTTTCATATTAGCTGCTAATGATAGCTACCAGAGTGTATCGCTGCTTCCTGTTTTGGGAATTATGGCTGTGCATCGTCTCACTCCTTATTTGGTAACGTGTGTGTTTATGTGGAACATTCCCTCAATTCCATTGGCTCTAGCGGTTAAAAAGATATGTCAATCATCAAAATCGACCAATGGGTTCCAGAGAAACGGCAAAAACTCCCATTTCCACGCAAATGGCCCCAGAGGTGGAGTTTTTTTTGCTAAACCTCTCTAAAAAGGTCTTCATGCCATGATATACTCTACATATTTTACATTCGCATAACTGTCTTTTTCTATAATCTATTCTTATCAAATTGTTCTAAAATTCATGAATGAGCTGTTAGAAATAATGGACGAAAGTATATATGTATTATACATTCAAAATTGTAAATACGTAAAATGGTATACTTTATTTGTAATCCATTGTTGATTGGAAGACTCTGATTTTGATCAAGTTTATTATAAGACTCCACCACTGTCTGGGCTACATTTTTCAAAATCTGTGTTTAAGAGGAAGATTAGGATGTGATTGTTGACAATTGATTCAGGACATATTCTTTTATTTTTTTCCTTCTACTTCACAGTGACAAGGTCAACTGTGGAATCTATGACAGTTACCTGGATAATGATAACTTCAACCAAGCAAAGGGCTTCAACTATCATCAAGGCCCAGTAAGCACATTAAGTACATTAACCTACAGCAGTACTTCTTGTATCCATTCAGTAGCATATGACAACTTTGACCTTTAACTTCTGTCACAGGAATGGTTGTGGCCTGTCGGCTACTTCCTGCGTGCCAAACTTTACTTTGCCAAGGAAATGGGAAAGGAGACGTATGTCCAAACTGTTAACCTGGTGAAAAACGTTCTCTCTCGTCACGCTATACACTTGGAGAGGTATTCACATAAATTGTTCAGCATGAAAGGGATGACTAGCAAACATTTATCTGTTTCAACTGTATTTGTGAAATGACCAATAAGCTCTTCAATTTTCTCCTCTAGTTCACCTTGGAAGGGTCTCCCTCAGCTGACTAATGAGAATGGCCAGCATTGCCAGTTCAGCTGTGAGAGCCAAGCCATATCCATGGCTTCCATACTGGAAGTTTTGTATGACCTTTGACCAAGACAGCATAATAAACAATGACCTTAAACACTTAAATATTGCCCCAATGCTCATAGAACTCACATTATCTTGGTTTCCTAATACAATTAGAATCAGAACCTAAAATCAATAAACTCAATCAGAGTGACTACATTTTAGACAATATCCAACCCTAGCATGATGGCCCTGTAATAAGAATGTAAATTCCGTCTCTGAAGTATTTGGTTTTCACAAAGCCATTGCATTTTACCATGTATTACCAGCAATATTATAGATGTTGATATGATGTCATGTACGAGTATGTTTTTTTGGCCCTGTATTGATAGCAGATATAAACAGGATACAGGGGGTAATGACGGGTATGACATTAATCAATCATCCCTGGATAGAAAAAACACAGCTGCATGGTTAGTGTTCCAATTTTGACAAAAAAGTATACTACAATTATGTTGATACAACAATCTTGTGGTTCTTGGGTAATCCACGGGATGTCACCAAATATGGCAAGCCTCAGAAAATGTTAGCTAGGGATGGATGAAAGCAACAAGCAACCTAAAGTTAAGTGTTGTTCCGCACAAAGCAAGAACTGCTTGCCATAGATTCTCCAAGTAGAATTCTACAGATTTCGACTAGAGGAACTAACAGTTTTCCTTTGTGGAGCAAGCTGTCTACGTTGCTTTATAACCTTCCACAGGTGCTCAATTGGGTTGAAATCTAAAGACTATAAAAGCGATACTATATGAGAGGGTCATAATAATCATCAAAACATTCGATGAGCCCTAATTTTCCAAGTGTTTCCTTTGATTTCCTCACCTGTCTGTAAGGTGTATTCCCCTTTTTTTCGTGTTGCACAGCACGATTTTAAAAGCAATGTATTTCTATTGGTAGTCTCACGGCATTACGTGTTATAGGAAGACCGGAAGCTGTGTGGTTCATAAAAGCATGTTCTTACTCAATATCAAGCCACAATTATTGCTTTTATTTTAAATCGTATAATTTCGGACTTTTGTTGCCGTCTGTGAGGAAAATAAATGGGGCTGAGAGCCTCAGGATACTGAAATCTGTATATTTGTAAAACTTTTTTTCCTTCTAAGTTGTTATTCTTTTCAAAATAACACACTGTTATTTACTCACCAATAACAAACAATTATCCTTGTTT